ATAAAGACCCTCACCACAGGATGCCCCCCCTTCACACAGGGCACTTTCCCTGTGATCTTGAGGACCAATGAGACAGGATCAGATTAGCATAAAGGTGGAGCTTGTGTGCGCCTCCCCCAGGAGGATCAATATAAGGGGCAGATACTGTCAGGCATTGTCAGCAGCTCTCACTGTGTTTCTCCCAACGGCCTGAAATCTCCTCACCATGCTCTGGGCTCCCCTCATCCTCCTGCTGGGGACGTGGTGCACAGGTGAGAACAGGGGGAGTGGGGTCAATACACATTGAATTTGCTGCTGGAGTCAATGCACAAACTGTGTCACTAGTGGCCGGGGACGGACACAGTGGGGTTCACTGGCTTCTCCATTATTTTCCCAGGTTCCAGCTCGCAGACTGTGGTGACTCAGCCACCTTCAGTGTCAGTGTCCCCAGGAAACACCGTGAAACTCTCCTGCACCATGAGCAGTGGGACCAGCATCAGTGGCTATGCTGTGTCCTGGTACCAGCAGAAACCTGGGAATTCCCCACGATACCTGCTGTATTACTATTCAGATTCCATCAAGGGCCAGGGTTCTGGGGTCCCTGCTCGCTTCTCTGGTTCCAAAGACACGTCCAGTAACGCCGGCTATCTGACCATCTCCGGGGCACTGGCAGAGGATGAGGCTGATTATTACTGTGCTGTGTGGAGTGGAAGTAGCAGTGCTCCTCCTCACTGTGACACAGACAGATGGGGAAGTGAGACAAAAACTGCCTCTGTCTTCCCACTCCCAGCCTGTGTTCTGCAGGGGCCTGCACAGGCTGCTAGGTTCGGTCTCTGCCTATAGCATATCACACAAATGCGTGTTCTTCATGTAACCTTTGGGTGGTCTAGAGTTCACTTCATTTCCCGTCTCCAGTGCCTTAAAAAACCCCAACTCCCATAGAAAGTAGCTGGAGACCCAGAGTTCAGTCTCTAAATATTTTCAGCAAGGATTGTACAGGGTCAACCTCCCCACATTCAAGTCACCTACAACCCCCAACTAAAACCTCTCCAGATCATCATCAAGGACAGGGCCAGCTCTAACTTTTTTGCTGGCCCAAGCAGCAAAAAAAAGCACCACCCCGCCGAGCACCCCGCCCCTCCCCCGCCGAGCGCCGCGCCGCTGGAACCCCCCCCGCTGAGCCCCGTGCCGCACCGCCGGAGTGCCCTCTCCCCC